TGCTGCTGCTGCTGCTGCTGCTGCTGCTGCTGCTGCTGCTGCTGCTGCTGCTGCTGCTGCTGCTGCTGCTGCTGCTGCTGCTGCTGCTGCTGCTGCTGCTGCTGCTGCTGCTGCTGCTGCTGCTGCTGCTGCTGCTGCTGCTGCTGCTGCTGCTGCTGCTGCTGCTGCTGCTGCTGCTGCTGCTGCTGCTGCTGCTGCTGCTGCTGCTGCTGCTGCTGCTGCTGCTGCTGCTGCTGCTGCTGCTGCTGCTGCTGCTGCTGCTGCTGCTGCTGCTGCTGCTGCTGCTGCTGCTGCTGCTGCTGCTGCTGCTGCTGCTGCTGCTGCTGCTGCTGCTGCTGCTGCTGCTGCTGCTGCTGCTGCTGCTGCTGCTGCTGCTGCTGCTGCTGCTGCTGCTGCTGCTGCTGCTGCTGCTGCTGCTGCTGCTGCTGCTGCTGCTGCTGCTGCTGCTGCTGCTGCTGCTGCTGCTGCTGCTGCTGCTGCTGCTGCTGCTGCTGCTGCTGCTGCTGCTGCTGCTGCTGCTGCTGCTGCTGCTGCTGCTGCTGCTGCTGCTGCTGCTGCTGCTGCTGCTGCTGCTGCTGCTGCTGCTGCTGCTGCTGCTGCTGCTGCTGCTGCTGCTGCTGCTGCTGCTGCTGCTGCTGCTGCTGCTGCTGCTGCTGCTGCTGCTGCTGCTGCTGCTGCTGCTGCTGCTGCTGCTGCTGCTGCTGCTGCTGCTGCTGCTGCTGCTGCTGCTGCTGCTGCTGCTGCTGCTGCTGCTGCTGCTGCTGCTGCTGCTGCTGCTGCTGCTGCTGCTGCTGCTGCTGCTGCTGCTGCTGCTGCTGCTGCTGCTGCTGCTGCTGCTGCTGCTGCTGCTGCTGCTGCTGCTGCTGCTGCTGCTGCTGCTGCTGCTGCTGCTGTTGCGTTGGCAATATCGGCTGCGGCTGCATTGGTGTTTGCTGTTGATGAATAATGGGTGTCTGCTGCGGTTGTTGCTGTTGCCTGAGAACTGATTGTGGATTTTGCTGAAGCATTGGTTGTGTTGACTGTTGAACAGAAGACTGCTGATTCTGTTGAAGGCCAGATAGTGGAGCTGGTTGCATGCTAGAAGGCTGCATAACAGATTGCTGAGAAGATTGTAATAGGTTCTGTTGCTGCTGTGTCTGTTGTTGCTGGATGTGAGATTGCATGTGTGGGGGAATACTTCCTGGCGGATATTTCTTGTTCAGAAGCTGCTGTTGAAAATGCTGCGGGTAAAGATAGTGCTGTGGATTTTGAGACTGCTGCTGTTGTTGTTGGGGAACAACTTGTTGTGGCCTTCCTGGCATCTGCCTTTGAGTATTGGCAAAAATATTGGAAGACACCCCCTGCCCCATTGAATTTGCAACTGAATTCTGTGAAACCCCAGAGATGTTCTGAATGTTCTGCAAATTGGAATTCTGGCCAACATTTGGTATGCTAGTCTGTGGTAAACCACCAACAGAAGGCAGTGCTGATGTTAAATTAGCAGAACCTGGTACTCCTGTTGCTGTGATGTTATTCTGAATATTCTGGGATAACAGCGGTTGGCGGGATTGAGACTGGTTAGCCACCATTGGATTAGAAAGTGATTGCCCCTGGTTGCCTGCAATTTGGGGTTGCATGCCATGGGATACTGCTCAGAAGAAAGAGATGAAGAAACCAAAACCAGGTTAAAAGATGAACAGTCAAGAAAATAAGGTTAAAAAGCAATTGTGCAATGATCTCACACTGAAGGTATCTCTCAGAGTACTTGGATAATTGATTCTAGTTCTTCTAATCATATGACCCCCAATTTATCCCCCCTCATTGCTCTCGTACTTCTCCCATGACTATTTGTACCACCAATGGTGCTCCTATAACTGATGTTTCTATCGGTTTTGTTTTTTCTTCCTTTTCTTCCCCTGTCCCTTCCAAACGTTTTCTACGTTCCTCAACTGTCCATTAGTCAGTTATCTAATTCAAGTTTTAACGTTCTCCTTTCTTCTTCAGGTTGTGTTCATCAGGATTAGATGTCCAAGAAGCTTATTGTGACCAGGCATAGGACTGGTGACTTATACGTGTTGGAAAGCTAGCATGTTCTTGTGTCGTCTACATCCACAGCTTTGTGAATTCGTGTCCTTTTATCTTTGGCATTCTAGGTAAGGCTGTGTCTAGTGAACGGTTAAATTGTTTGGTTCAGTTTTGTGTTATGGGTAAGGTGTCGTTTAGTGATCTTTCTGAGTGCAGTTGTAAACTTGCCAATGTCTGCTTTAGCTTTTAATACACGTACTTCTATTTCCACTTATCATTTCTCTATTGTTCAACTTGATGTGTGTCCCTCTCCTGTTATTACTCAAGGGGGTTTTGTGTACTATGTTACCCTTATTTATTTAAATTTTTTTTTTTTATGACCAGGTGTCCGAACCAACTTACACACACCTCAACTAAATCCCGAGACCCATGCAAAGCGCCCCCTCCGCAACGATTGGGCAAATCTCGGACAGAGCCCGCGGGCGTGGACCCAAGGAGTTGATAGCACTTAATGGGAGTTGAACCTGAGACCTAAAGGAAGCACACCCCCACGCCCCAATAGTCCTATGTTTCCTTTATTGATGACTATAGTCGTTTTTGTTAGGTTTATATTATGTCTCACAAGTCTGATTTCTTTCGCATTTATCATTCATTCCATTCTATGGTTCAAACTCAGTTCTCCACACAACTATCGAAATTCTTCATTCTATCTTAGGTGGCATTTTATTGTCAAATTTACTAATTTCTTAGATGTATCTGGTATTGTTCTGATATACCCCAACACAAAATGGTACAGCAAAAAGGAAACATTGACACCTCCTTGACACTAATAGCTCCCTTCTTACATCTTCAGTTCCTGTTGTGATTTGTGGTGAAGCGGTTTTTACAGCAACCTATCATCTTAATCTTATCCCCACTCTTCTCTAGTATTTTTCCTTATGAAAAGTAGTTTGGTCAAGTTCCTAATTATTCTTTTTTTACATGTTTTGGATCCGCATGATTTGTTCTCCTGCGTCAACGGGAGTGTACCAAGCTCAGTACTCACTTTGTCATGTGTGTTTCTAGGCTATGGTATTCATCAAAAAGGATATTGGTGTTATGATCCGGTTTCTAATAAGTTAAATGTTTCTCATCATGTGGTCTTTCTTGAGCATTTCCCTTATTTTTGTCTTCCAAGGGTGTCCTTGTGTCTAAGGAGAACTTCATTCATATTGATCATTTTCCTGATGTTGTACCTACAGATGAGTATACCATGACGCTTGATGTTGCAGATTTTTCCTCTTCTTTTGCTCCCTCTTCAGGCATCACGCTTTTTTTGGGTCTATTCTCATAGTACACCCCTTCTGTACCTGTCTCCATCAATTCTATAACCCCTCCTACTTCTGTGGGACTTGATCATCCTGCAAAATGCTATCCTCTTCGAGATTGTAAACCCTTAACAAGACTTAGTTGTTTTGCTAGTACTTTTTTTGGGTAAGTAGTTTTGCTAGTACTTGCATTTCTCCTTATCATACTTTTTTATCCCCTATTCATGCTTACTTAGAACCTCAGTCTTACAAGGAAGCTTGTATTGATCCTAATTGGGTGTGTGTTGTACAAGATGAACGAATTGCTCTTAAAAAGAGTTGTACTTGAGAGTTGGTTCCTTTCCTTGCAAGTAAAAATGTTGTCGGTTGCAAATGGATATATATAAGGTTAAAACTCATTCAGACGGATATCTAGAACGATATAAGGCGTGTTTGGTTGCCAAGGGTTCTTCTTAGGAGTATGGCATTGACTATAAGGAAACATTTACCCCGGTTGCTAAGATGATGACAGTTTGTACTTTCATTTTTGTGGCTTCCGTTCATTAGTGGTTGTTAGGCCTAAGGCTAGTATCAATATATGTGGATAAGTATTGATGATAACAAACATATTTTTATGGTACTAATGACTTGTTCTCAAGTATTTTGCATGTAGAAACGAATCCACGTGAATGTCACAAAGCTTAAAGGATCAAGGCAAATCAAGCAAGAAAGCAAGTATCCAAGGGCTCAATGAAGATTGTGCATTACACTTGCATTGGCTTTACATTCATTTTACATTGGTTGCATCCAAAACGGTTTTTTGTCAAAATTGGACTACGTCTAAAATTAGTGTGAAAATTGGATTTTCCAAAAATCACAATTTTGAAACTAATTTTCCCGATAATTGTTCCTTGTATATTAAATAGTTTAAATTAAATTTATCGAATTTTTCTACGTAGTCTAACTCACTTCACTTTAAACACCAAATTTAGTAGTTGCAGCCAGAAAATTATTTTTATACTAAAACTGGGGAAACCACTTATTGATTTATTTGGATTTTGATTTTCTAGTATTTTTCTTTGAATCCAAATGGGGGGGTATTTACTACTTCCTTATTTACATTGTAAACTTAAGTAAATGGCCTCTTACATTTATATTTCATTTACTAAATGCTTACATTCCAGAGCAAGAATGGGAAAAATAAGAGCAAAACTGTTCCATCAAAAATGATGAGAAAGAAAAACACAAGAAGAATCAAAACAATATAACATCAAGAATTCCAGATATCTTCAACAGGTGATTGCTGAAAAAGAAATGTATAATTCTTTCACGCAATTACCTGTATCTGGAGGATTTTTGCTATTACTGGCAGAATTCGATATAGTATTCTGAGATTTGTTCTCCATTGTCAGCATCTTCAGAGATATTTTTCTCAGATAATCAGACTGCAATTGGAAATTAAGAATATATAATTCATGAGCAATTATGCCAAGCCAAAAACCAACCGACCATTGCTATACAAACATAGAAGGTGAAATGCAGATATTCCCTTTTGTTTTTTGGATGAAGTCTGCATTTTACAAATTTACAAAGAAACAAATGATCAAATGCAATATGACAAAGACATAACAAGGAATCAAAAGATGCCCAAATGACGGATATACCTGGCTTGTGGCAGCAGTGTAGATCTTCTCCTCAAACCTTACAGCAATCTTCTTAAGTTCTTGCAGTCCCTCTTGTCCAGAAAAGGGAAGATGCCTCTTCAAAGTGTCCATTCTGCCCACATGAAACATTACATTTTAAATGGTTAAACAACCATGCAGGTGAATTGGCAGCAGGGTTTATAAAGTATGACAACATTCTCAATTTTAAAATGCATAGAGTACATATAAAGAAACGAAAAGCTTGATTCAAGAAAGCATGTTACTGTTTAGACCTTCATTATGCCTTCATGGAGCTCATCCAAGAGGCATCCAAGGCATAATTCCTAAGACATCACGAGATTCCCTAAACCAAATTAGCGTAACAGGCCTTAAAAAATTTTAATAACACCAAAAACCTTTTCCCCTGGTGATATTTTATTGTTCAGTTTCCGTAGGTAGTGCTAAACTCCATAGGAGCAAGGCCGAACGGATGTCATTTTGACATTTAGAAAATATAAGAGACTCAAGTGAGCTAAAGCATTCCTATAATACTGAAATGAGCTTAGTGAGGCCCATTCAACCAATGGAACCTCCACAAATTGAATAAATTATGTGTAAGCTATATCAGAACTTTACGTTTCATATCTGGGTACATCACTAGAGTAAAAGACACATTCAACAATATATGGGACTAATGCATTTGATTTATAACATGTAATTATATAACAATATTTTTTATCTTTTGCATAATATTTAAAAAAATTAATTCAATTTATAAAAAAATTAATAAATAAAGCACGAAAACCTAATAAGATCAAGACTAGATTCAATAAGAGTCAAATAGTTCTGGGAAAAATACAAAAAGAATCAGAGTTTGAACCTTATAACAAAATAAACTTGAATTTTAAATTTTGTCAATTTAGACACTAATCTTTTAATTTGTTTTTAATCTAAACCATCCATCTAACATTGTTAAGTAAAACTAACGGAAAAAAAAGAGGGTATTTTAGTCATTCAATTCAATAGAAAATGGTATTTTAGACATTTTTCGTACACTTACATTGAGTTTAATGACTAAAATACTACTCCCTCCTTCTCATTTTGATAGTCCCCTTTGGAAATTCTAACTGTGTTAGGGGACATGTAATCATTGCATTTGAATTCAAAATTTAGAGCACTTATTCCAATAATGCCCTTCTCTTTTTCAAATTTTGAATATATTTCTAGCCATTTAAAAAGGGTAATTTTGAAAACTAAATATTTTTTACTTTCTTTTCAAATAGGACAAACATTTTAGAACATCCTATCCTAAAATGGGAAAAAGGACTAACAAAATGGGACAGAGGGAGTATTTTTCTATCACTTTTACTTGACAAAAATAGGTGGATGATTTAGATTGAAAACAAATTAAAAGTTTAAAATTTAAATTGACAAAGTTAAAAACTCCGAGTTTCTTCACTAGAAAAATATTACAAATATTACAAGGTGATTCTGCAACAAATATAACAGAGATTAGAGACCCACAAACTAAGTAGCTGAGAGAAAGAAAATGTAGTTGTGTAAATATAAAAATGTCAAAAGCAGCAAAGAGGTAATAGAAATATGATGCTAATGTAATGAAGATAGGATGGCAGAATGTGTTACAAGAATAGAAAAGGAATTTCTTGGTAAATTAACAGGGAAGGGGCCATTATCAATGGAAACCCAACAGTGGAAGAAGGAAGCAAGTCGTAGTGAAATCAAAAGGCTTTTTCTATTTTCTTTCGATAAGTAAAAAATACATGTTCACTGCTATAAGAGTTCCAAGAATGTACAAATAAGGAAAATTATTGAAGCCAAAAAAGTGCAAAGAAAAGAATAAAAAAAATAAAAAATAAATAAAAAGAATGAAAGAAGAATATGTATAGGCTTGCTAAGCCAAAGAAGAATATAAAAAGTGATGGATCTGTTGGTGAGGAAATGAAAGAGAGTTGGAAAAGCTACTTGTTGGAGGCAAATCATTTGGCTACCTTAGGTTTATAATAATCATACTAGACTAGAGAAAACAAATTTCTTCATGAAATTATGTGGACAAGATAAAAACATGTATTGCGTAAAAAGAACATGGAAGTTTTATGATCAGACAACAATCCTACGGCTTGGAAGTGTTCGGGGGATGGAAACTATTTAATAAGATCACAACAACTATAATTATGCATTAAGAAGAACGAACATACCAACACATCAATTTTCCAAAAAACATAGTACACAACACATGGGGAAACAACAAAATATGTAGCTTATACATTTATTATGTATTTATATGCCTTATATATAGATAACACTACAAACATAAAAATTACATTCAATAAGACTAGAAATTCTATCCTCTATCTTTACTAGATTTTCGAAATCAACCGAACCAACTACCAAACCGAATACTTTCAATTGGTCGATTATGAACTGTAAGTCGGTCAATAATGGTTGTGTGATTTCCTAAACTGATGGTGTCGGTTCGGCTGCCAAGCCAAAAGTAAGTCTGAACCGAACTGAGCTGTGAACACCACTACTTGTTTGGTAACATTTATGTTCATAGTTTTCTATTTATACATAAAAAAAAATTGTAAATGGTAAACAATAAATAGTTTGTTATCTTTTTCCATTTTCAAAAACTTGTAACAGCTTACAAAATTTTTATAATCACAAAAAAGTTGGTTTCACTTGTTTAGGAAAAGATTTTTTTTTTTTTTTATCACCTTTTAGAAAAAGAAATTTCATTCCTTTTTCTTTCTTCTGCTCCATCCAGCCTACAGCTGATTACCCCCACCTTCGACCACCATCGCCGATGACGGCTTTTGACCACCATCTCCCTTGGCCACCAACCACCTCCCAGTAGCAACAACCAACTTTCGACCACCAACCAAAGCAGCCAACCACCATCAACCGCAAGCAACCACCTCTCGCATTTAACAAACACACCTTTGATGGCTGGCAAACCACCTACACTAGCTGACAACCACCTCCAACCGTCAACAACAACTTTCAACCACCACCTCCCAACGGCCACCCTTTCACTTGTTTTCAAAACAAGTTTGCACCAAAACATATTTTTTGTTTTCATTTTTATCAAAAATAAACAAGAAACTGTAAACGTTACCAAATGACACATTTATGTTGTGTTTGTGTTTAGATCTTGAATTTGTGAAGAAAAAATAAATTAGGGCTCATACCCTTTACTCTTTCCTTTTTCATTTAACTCCACAAATCTCTACACAAACGGATGTGTTTCTCTCTTCTTTTCTTTTTTGTTGGGTGTATATGCATGTAAAACAACAATAAGAATCTAAAAACATAGAACTATTATTTACAAAAATAAAATTAAAATAAATGTGGAAGAAAAGCTCACATCTTATTGACAATTCTTTGTCGAGAATCAGGTTGCAATTGGGTCCTCCAATCACCCGGGTCCATCGTGGGTTCACCGCCGCCTGGAGCAGGCCTCCAGTTATTGGTCTCCATCACAGTTAACTAATCATCAATCAATCAAACACACCCCTTAAACGCAATAATAAAGTAAAAAATCAAACAAAACTCAATAAAATTCGTATACCCAAACTCAGAGCTACGGCCTGATCTAAAGAAGAATAAGAACAAGACAAGGACTAATACGGTGGTGAAGAGATGTTTGTTCAAATTTTTTGCTTTCTCAACTTATACGCAATTTCTTCTGATTGGGACAAACGCAAGCAACTTTTAATTTTTTTATTATTAATCTAAAGTGCTCTCAGCTAACAAATTACTAGTCTATTTTGATTACTAAAAATTTTAAAAATAATAATAATTACTTCATAAAATATATTATAAAAAAAAAAAATTTGAAAAAGTAGAGATTCCCCTAGACTGAGAAGGCACACCTGGACTTTGTTGGATCAATGGGCCAGAATCAGCTGGAGAAGCTACCTGGAAAGTCAGATGCAGAAACCAAAGTCAAAAACCCCCAAAACAAAATCAAAAATTGTTTGACCTTGTAATCATAATCAAAATCAAATTCAAGGCCGAATTGAAGAAATCTTCACGAGTTCAAAAAAGAAAAGAGGATATCTTCGTGCGAGCTCCAATAATGGTGACATAGTTTCTATCTATTTGATTTTATTGTGATTGGAGATAGAGAGAGAAGGAAGAAGAAGAAGAAGAAGAAGAAGAAGGAGAAGAAGACGTCTTACCTTGATTGTGAAACCTAGAGAGAGAGAGAGAGAGAGAGAGAGAGATATGCCGTTGTTGATAATGGAAGAAGATATAATAATAGCAAGTTGCCTTTTTTGCCTTTTGTTTATTAAATTTTTTCTCTAGTTTGGAATTATTGTAATCGTAATCTCTACCTGAGGGCGGCGGTGACGTGTCTCGCACTCGCGCTGCCTATTGGACGGATCGTTCGGTGCTTCTCATTTATGTTTTTTTTTTTTAATCAATTTACGCGGAACTTATTTAATTTTAAAATTTACATAAAGCGCTCTTCATATGAATTAGAAAAATCTCGGATTGAGATCACATGCACCGCTACTAAGAATTGATAGTACATAATAAGAGTTACACTTACATTAACACCATTTGAGAGTTTGAGGTGCATAAGTAAAAATTTAATTTGAATGAGTTTAATCTGAATAATATGACTTGCGTTTAAAATTATTTTAGCATTTATTTTGAATTTGATACAAGTTTGTGTAAAAAAGAGAAAATCAAAATTAAATTTAAATAGGCGTGGGCAGAGATATCAAATAGTTCAAACAACTCGAAATTCGAATTGTATCTATAAATATATAAAAATATTAATATAAATAATTTTTAATTGGATAATGTTAAAATAATTTAAATTGTTAGATCTAGATGTAATAAACGAGCTGAACGAGTCTAACAGTTAATTGTTTAAGCTTGATTCATCATGTGTATCGATCTCAAATGAATTTTTGTCGAACCAAGATCGAGGTCAAAACAATCTGGTATTTTTATATAGTTTTGAGGTCAACGAGCCAAGTCAAATGAATAATTGACCATTCAAGCTTAATTCGAAAATTTTAATGAATTCTAAAATGTGTTTAAGATTGACTTGTTCACTTAATTAACCGAGTTCGTTTTAAACAAGTCAAACACGATTCTAGCTCAAACTATTTGGTTCATTTATTAACTCAATTGAATCATATTCACTATATATATATATATATATACACACAACTAACACAAAACAAAATTCACATTTTTCTTTTCTCATAAAAATTATAAATGTCATCGTAGTATATTGATTCTTCAATTTTTATTTCTTACCTCTCCATCTGTCTCACATTAAATAAAATATGTGTTTTGATCTTATTATTAATCATTTACCAAAAAACAATGTTAATATCGTTTAATTTTGACAAATTAATCAACTTTAAAAATTAATAAAATAAAATAAAAAATAAAAAACTCGAGTTTATGAATAGTTTAGACAATTTGAGCTTAACTCGAGTCAAGCTTGTGCAAACAACCTCAAGTTACAACTCGACCTTGGGTGGGTCTAGGTAACTCTTAACACAACTCAGGCTGAGTTTAGATAACCTCTTAACTTACCTGGACCCACTTGTAAGAACCAATCCAATTTTAATATTACATTTGAGACCCTTTTCTAGATTTTGGAACTTTAAGGTAAGATTGAACCAAAAGCTCCAAATTTGTTTTTTATTTATTATTTTTGACTAATATTCACTCTTTTGCTCTTTTTCTCTCTCTACATTTTGAATTTTTCTCTTTCTACACTTTGAATCTTGATATGAGGCCAACACTATTTGAAAGCTTATTTTTGGGGAATTGATTTAGATATAAATTTAACATAATTCCGACTCTAGAAGAAGGAGATACACTTGTTTGAAATTTACCTAACAAAGTAATATAGGAAATCAGCACATGCGGAAGATTTGTTCTGCACAAGCGAATTATGTAACGTAGTGAGAAAAAGTTACTAGATAGATCCGCACAAGCAGATTGTGCCGGATCAGAATCTTCTAAGCGATATGGCAGCCTCTCAACCAAGCACTTGGGATCCCTTTTCATCATTTAGCTGAGATATTTCTCTGTCCTCATTCATTTCAAACACATTTTCTCTCTCCATATCTATTTTTTCACTTTTCTTTCTCTTTCCACCATAAATCTACCATTAAACCTTGAGAGTGGGAGTTGATCTAAAAACCCAAGTAATAATGGCATGGAATTCAGTGAGGGCTTCTTGTCTAGCGGCATGGATTTTCTTTTGAGGTAAGATTATTTATTTATTTATTTTTATGTATTTGATGGGTCCTTTAGCACACCAAAAATAAAGACTAGATTGAATTCTAATTTTACAAAACAAAGGTTAGTTTAGATATCGATCCATAGGGACAATTGTAAGATTAAACCAATTTAAATTGTAAAATTCCTAAATGAATATTAAATTGAAGTGAGAATTAAAATAACAATTAGAAATTAAATTAACAATAAATATTGAGGTTGAGAACTTGATTTAAGGTAATGAATCAACCACTAGTTACATAAATAGGGTTTAAAATCGGGAATTGATTGCGATATAGTTTGAACCACTAAATATATAAACTTACCTCAAGTAGCGAAAATGCAAAAAGAAGCTCCGAAACTGAAATTTAATCGCTTCAAAGTGCTTGAAACTGAATGTTTTTGCGAAAACAATTTGCACGGGGCGTTGGAAAACGCGCGTGAATCTTAGATCTGGAGAGGAAAGTGTTGTAGAAGGCAAGAAAGGAAGGGGCCTCGGCTGCTTTTTATAAGCTCAAGGTCTTGGTTGAAGAAGCATGCAAAAAGGGGGTGAAAAAGACCAAACTGCCCTCGGATCTGGCATATGGCCGGCCGGTCCCTTTTTCTAGCCGGCCAGCTATCTGCTTTTTGGATAACTGGCCGGCCAGCTATCTACTTTATGGGAAACCGGTTGGCCACCTCCCCCTTTCCCTATAACCGGCCGGCCATGTTCCCCACATGCTCACCTAACTCCCTGCAAATTTTGAGGAAAATCGGAGTTCCCGGGACCTGAAAAAGTTCAAGAAAAGTACACTTCCGGTCGCGAAATAGCTCCGTCGGGACTTCGGCTTCAAGTTCTGACATATGTCTCATCATCACTCATCAAAATCAAAGTGTATCCTTTTTGAATGAGTTGTAACCTTTCAGGGAAGCGGATCGGAGGCCGTGATCGAGTTACCTTCGCCGAAACACGCGTTTCCGTACTCGTTGTTTCATGACAAATGAACACCCTGATTTATGCTCGTTTTGTACTATCGTGCACATAACTTGCATTCTCATGAGCATACCTGCATTAACGTGCACATTTCTGGATATTGGCATACCTCTATGTTTGAGTATACGTTGTCACGCATGTTCCACTCTCGCATTGCGATGCATTCACTCGCCGTAGAGAGTGGCCAGAGCGGCGCCACCCCAGTCGTAATGCAAGATCCGCCTGACGTTGTAGACACCCCATTTTTGACCGACCTTAAGACTCAGACGTCACCGACTGAGCGCTTGGTGATGTTGCATAATGTGCTTGTTCAGAAGTTTCAGAGTTGCGGCCGTGAGCCCTGCCTCCGAACTTCCGAACCCTCTTCTGTGCCTTGTCTCGGTTTGCGAACCAGACTCGGTTTTCTTTGTTTCTTTTCCTGAGGGAAGAGAGAGGTCCCGTAGACCAACTCTCAATGTCCGTAGGCTACATTTGGTGGCCGTAGGCCATTTTTCCCATTTCGGAGTCCGATTTTCTTTTTTCGGAGCCGTCAGGCCGTGTGCCTCGGTTCGGGACCGCTTAACCATCTCCTATTGCTCTGGTTTTTTGGCATACTTCCTATTTGCTCCCTTTTGAGGGACACTGGGGTCTGAGAAACCCACTTCGTGGCCGAAAGCCACTTTCGGTGCTTAACAGCCCATTTTTGGGACCTCGAACTGCGTGTTTTGGTCCCCGAACATTCGTTTTGCAACGGTTTTCGTTCATTTTTGGCAGGTACCTCTGTTTTATCACCGGGGAGGTCACTGAAGGGTGGGAGGCCAGCAATTGTTGCAGCAACCAGTTGTACATCCTCCGACGCCCTCCGGCGCCCGTTTTTCACACTTCCGGGCTAATGTTGAACACCTTGGGCCCACATTCTGGAACTTTGAACCACATATTTGTAATGTACACACATGGGAGGACCCTAAAAAGTGGTGGCCGGCCATTAATTCAACTTGACCCTTTTGACCCCCTCCTTCCAGGCTAATGTTGAACCCCTTGGACCCTTTTTCTCGAACTTTGAACCACATATTTGTGATGTACACACATGGGAGGACCCTAAAAGTTGGTGGCCGGCCAGTAATTCTACTTGACCCTTTTGACCCCCTCATTCCGAGCTAATGTTGAACCCCTTGAACCCACTTTCTTGGACTTTTAACCACATGGTTGTGTTGTACACACATAGGAGGACACCATCAGTTGGTGGCCGGCCAGAAAATCTGCTTGACCCTTTTGAGCCCTAGCCGGCCGACTAGGGGGTATGGCCGGCCGGCCACCTGGAGCAAAAGTAACAGGCTGGCCGTATTCCTTACACTGTGCACTTTACAGCTGTGGGGCTTTATCCCCCAGAAAAGATCTTTATCCGGGGGATATTTTGTGGGGGAAAGTTTGTCTCCTTTTCCCCCACCTTTACACCCCCTTAGGCCGGCCGTGTTCCTTGCACTGTGCACTTTACAGCTGTGGGGCAATATCCCCCAGAAAAGATCTTTATCCGGGGGATATTTTCTGAGGGAATTTTGCTCTCCTTTTCCCCCACCTTTACACCCCCTTGTTGGCCTATATAGCAAGCAAGATATATCCTTTGTTGTGGTGAGAAAACTTCATCTTCAAGCATCCATACACAACTCCATTTCTATACCGCTCATTTCCTTGAAAAACCTTAAGTCCCTAATCACCATTTCCTCTACACCACCAAGCTCTACCACCACCACCTCATTTCCAGCAATAAGGAAGGTTTCTCAAAGGTCAAAGAAGCTGCAAATTGGTCCAAGAAGCAACCAAAGCCTTAGTCTTCAAGGGTAAGTAACACTTCTTCTCTTTTGACCCTTTTCCTTGATTCATTTGTAAGCCTCACTTGCTTTTTGTTTCAAGCTCCGGCACTAACTAAGAAGGGCCCTATTTTGAGCTCATCTTCACTTTTCATTAAGGGCTCAACCCTATTTGAGCCCTCCATGATACACTTGCTTCATTGATCCTCTCATATGTCATGATTTTGCATGCTATTTTTAGCCCGTGAGTAATCTGTTTTTGAGCATGTTGTAAACTGATATT